AGCTACTTTCTCTTAGTTAATTGAGAAGAAAGACCTGTACTAATATTGTTTAGACTAGATAGGTCTGAATCCTTTCCTCTGAATAACTAATATGAAGACCACAATATGCAAAGTAAAATTATTGTAGTCGTCCTACTAACCTGCTTTGCAACTGTTTCATTGCTATTTTATCCTGTTTTTCTCATTAAAAATGAATAAAAGATTTGTCAACATATATAAAGGCAATATTTCATTGTTGTAGTGTATGTGGAAGTTCCAAATGCAAAGTGCTAGCCTTGAAGTAGTTTCTTAACACTTTTCTGTGGTCTCACCACTGAGATTCAGTGGAAGGAATAGGTCAAAATTAAGCCTCCGTTAGTGTAATAAGGCAGAGATTTGCACTAGAAAGAACATGCAAATACTCCTATGATGCTAGCTGGCTAAATCAAGAGAATTTCAAGCTCAATCTTTGCCTGTAAAATATAGTGACTTAGAAAAAATATACCTATACATAAATTCCAATGAAATAAATACTATGACTTTACTTTTTATACCTTGTTTTTACCCTTTTCTGCTGGATGGTTAAGATGAAGATAAAGCAAGACCTATATGATAAGATATGTAACTTTTGTATCTGACAAGGTCAGTCAAATCCCCTCAGGATGTACCCTGAAAACCTGTACAACAGTTTGTAGAGCCTTTGTCAGTGTCAGCCATGTGGATGGGTCATGGCCATTGCTTGACCAGTTTTGCTCTCTGTGAAAGCCGAGAGAATGTTTTCTCTAAAGCTATATTAATATGCTGAGCTGTAAAAGGCTTACATCAATAACTTCTGACATTGCAAGTCCTATGGATAGCCCACTACTATTATGGACTACTGGACTATATTGGATTATTTTGCTGAATTCATCCACCTACAATATTTAAATGGCAATGGAATAACCATCTCTGACAAAACTAAACAAAAAAGCATATATAAATAAAACACCATTTTGTGTCTGTATATACAAAATAGGATAGATATACAGCTATTTTTTTAATTCAAGCAGAAAAAAGATTTGTACTAATAGTGTATGGACAGGATATCACATCTTTATCTTGTACTATGAATAAACACTATGAAGACAACAATATGCAAAGTAGTAATTATTGATGACTTTTTCTTTGGCTGGCTCAGGATGCTTTAAGGGCAGGTCTGGTAGGGCATGAGGATCTGGAGATCAAACCACAGTATCCTGAGCCTTAATGCTTTGTTTAAGCAGGCACTTAAAACTGAGCTCAAGGGCAGGCCCCCTAATTATTGATACTGTCTTGCCAACCTGGTTTGAAACTGTCTCATTGCTATTAGTTTGTCC